TGGAGGAAATGATTCCTCTGTGTTGACCCTCCTCTTTATAGACTGGACACTGGTTCAAGTCCATCTGGTGGGGTCTCCTTGGCCTCCTTGATCAAGAGGTCAGATGACCCACCACCATTACAGGACAACCCTCCCCTGATTTTTAAGTGAGGAAAGACTTGGGATATAGAGTCAGGAGGATCAGGAGTTCAAGGACATCCTAGACTACATGAAATCCTGTCTCATAAAACCTGACAAAGACAGACACAGAGAAGGAGGGAAAGAAAGAAGAAGGGAAAGGAAAGGAGAGTTAGGGGATAGAGACAGAGAGACACAGAGAGTCAGAGAGACATTGAGAAACAATAGTGTAGCAGGAAAGGCAGGCAGATAGACAAGTACCAATTTTAGCTCTGCTACAAAGCTGGAAACTGTTAGCAGTTGGCCTCAAGGACACAATCTTCCTGTATCAGCCTCCTCATGCTGGGATCACAGGCATGTACTTCCATGCCAGCTCTAAAGCTACTTTTAGTGTCACATTTTTTTCCCAATGAGTATTTATCAGCATTGACCTTGTCTTGTACATTAGAAAAAAAGGAAATAATATTTGACTCAATTATGATAAACAAGGCCCAAGCTCTACAGTTCTGTAATTTGAAGGCAAGGATGATACATTATATCTTGTTTAAAAATCACTTATCTTAAAGGTAGCTCCTTTCTAGGAAGTTAAAAGAATCTCTGGGTTCATGGGGCTAGAGAGATGGCTCAGTGGTTAAGAACACTGACTGCTCTTGCAGAAGACCCAGGTTCAAATCCCAGCATCTACATGGATCTGACAGCCTCTTCTGTCCTTCGAGGGCATTCATTGCACTACACAGATGCACTTAACTACATGCAGGCAACACACACATACACATAAAATAAAAATAATAAAAAATTTCTGGATTCAGTTTTATTTTCTTGAATTTGTAGGTCTCAAAAATAGATTCTATCTAATATAGTCTTGAAGCATCTCTAGCATCCAGTACAACTCCATGAGTTTTGCTTTTGTGAGGCCTAACCTGGTAGTATTAGAGGACCTTAATGTTCTCATGGCACCTGAATGTCCTGAGACTGCAGTGGGGAGGGGTAAGAGGAGTAGGCTCAATCATCTGAGGGTATGTTAGTAAATTCTAAACAGGAAAAACAGGATTTACCTTCCAAAGGCTTATTTGAACAATCTAATCATCAAGGTTGTATAAGAATTATTTTATGTTTCATAACTTCTCAAGGCCTAAAGGATCTCTTTCTTCCACCCCCCCCACTCCCTTCCCAACCCTATGTCTGTTCTCTAGATTCCAGTTTCCCATTACAGAAAAAGGATGGTCAACCTCAAATAATTCAATAAAATCTAGGTCATTCATCCTGGTTAAATCTATTTAAAAGCAATGAAAATGGGCAGAAATATTTTGTGTGTGTGTGTGTGTGTGTGTGTGTGTGTGTGTGTATGTATGTTTATTTGAGACAGGGTCTAACGTACCTCAGGCTGGCTTTGAACTCTGTATCCTCCTGCCTCCGTCTCCCAAGTGCTGGGATTATAGATGTGACACCATCCCCATTTACAGTTAAGTCATGTAATCCTCACAACAATTTTATGAAATAGGCCTTAGGAGAGGTAGAGAAGCTAGTTAACAGGCTGTAGCACCATAGAAAGACGATGGCAGCTTGGAGTAGGCTGGTAGTAGTGGAGGAAGAAGCAGAAGAATCAGTTGGCCTTAGAACCTAAAACACTATTGTCAGGCCCTTGATAAATATCTGTCAATGAATGAACTAGTTATGGAAGGTGAGAGAAGGAGGTATGCAAGGATGTCTCCTAGGTGTTATGGATTAGGTTAGCTACCATTCACTAAGGCTTTTCCGTTTCAGTTGGGTTTGATAAATATCTGTCAATGAATGAACTAGTTATGGAAGGTGAGAGAAGGAGGTATGCAAGGATGTCTCTTAGGTGTTATGGATTAGGAGGTAGCTACCGTTCACTAAAGCTTTTCCCTTTCAGTTGGGTTTGGTGGCACACAGCTATAATCCCAGAATTTAGGAGGTAGAGTCAAGAGGAGCAGAAGTTCACTGCTATCTCCAGGTATACACAGAATTTGAAGTCAGCCTGGGTGACACGAGACCATGTCTTAATGGAAAAGTTTCCTTCTGAGTAACAGATGTTTCTTTTCACTCACTTAAAGGGGTTCTTCTTCACCCACCACTCATTAGTGTAATAGTAGTGTTTTGTTTTGTTTTGTCTTTTTTGAGACAGAGTCTCCCTATAGCCTCAGTTAGCCTGGAACTCTCTATGTAGACCAGACTGGCCTTGAACTCACAACATCTGTCTGCCTCTGTCTCCAATAGTAGTATTTTAACCAAATAACTTGTTCCTCCAGACTAGGGCACACAATCCCTACCCAAGGGCAAATAATCCCTAGATTGGATAATGACTCATGAGCTCTAACTAGAAAAAGTAAGTGGATGAGCTGCAGTTGTAGCACAGTGGTAAAGTGCCCACCTAGTACACCCAAGGCCCCGGGGTTTAAACCCCTGGTGTTGTTTTGGACACTCAGGTCTCCCTATGTTGCCCATGCTGACCTCAAAGTGATCCTGTCCTGCCTCTGAATAGCTAGAATTGCAAGTGCCTAACACCTTGTCTGGTTCTTCCTTGATTTTGAACTAGGAAATGAAGGAAGTTTCTAGCAAGCAGCTATAAAGGAAAAAAGAAATAGAAGGAACTGTAGAGAAAGCTCTGCCATCAATCCTTAGTTATCCAGCTTGGGGAATAAGGACTATGACCTTACTATCTTCTGACCTCCAATCACATACTTATTATCTGACCACTTCTAGATACTGGAGGGCAAAAGAGCATGATGGTACTATCTAGAGACAAGGTCAGGGGAAAGATGTTTGCCAAGTTTGGTGGCACACACCTGAAACTCCAGCCAGCACTCAGGAGGCTGAGGCAGGATGATTTTAAGTCTGAAGTCAGTCTAGGCTACATAACAAGTTCCAGGTCAGTCTGGGTATAGTGAGACCCAATCTCCACAAACAAAGCAAAGACAAAACAAAACAAAACAAAACCCCCAAACCAACCAACCAAGGCAACCCATTTCTGGGACCCCTCTGTGCTGCGGGAAGTTGTTACTTTTACTTCTCAATAGCTTGTCCTTCAAAAAACCCCAAAAAAACAAAAAACAAAAAATAAATAAAAATAAAAACAAACGAAAAAGTTGAGAAAGGTAGAAAGTGAATATGGAAGGGCAAAAAGAAGATAAAGTTGTTTCCAAGAAGCAGTTACATGGAAGCAGTTTTTAGTGCTTATTCAAAAGACAGACAATAGACAGCTGTCAGACGGCAGTACTGTACTACAGTGAAGACCCTAAACTCCCGCCACTGACTTCTACAGTCCTTGAGACCACACTGCCCTTCAGTTGTCTCCCTGAAAGCAAACATTCTTTATAGAAACAGTTTCTTTATCATCCTTTACATTGACTTGAAGTCTGATACTCTCCACTTAAAGAGAGCTGGAGCTTGGGAGATAGCTAGGTCAGTAAAGTACTTGTGAGATCTGAGTTTGATGCTCAGAAACCTTGTTTAAAAAAATAAAATAAATAAATAAATAAATAAATAAATAAATAAATATATAAATAAAAAGCCAAACATGGTGGAGCTTATAATTCTATTGCTGAGGAGGGACAGATAGGCAGATCCCTGAGCCTACTTGGTGAAATACAGACCAGTGAGAGACTTTATCTAAAAAATAAAAGGATAGATGGTGCCTGAGGTTGTTCTCTGGACTTCACACATGCACCTGCACACACAAGCAAACACACACACACACACACACAGTCAACATACAAACATCCACAGACAATGCACATAAAACGAACATCAAAGAGCCATTTCTACATTTCCTTTTCCTCTACTGACCCAGTCTTATTCTGCCGGTAGTTGAATAAACTGATGGTAAAAATGAAATAGAATGTGATCTGAATGACACTGCATTCATTGGTAGGCTTCTGTAAAAGAGTTAAGTATTTCCTAACAGGACTTAAGGAAAAAAAAAAAAAAAGGCCCCATGGTTATAACAGCAAACTAGTTGGAAATTAAAAATACAAAGCTTCACCAGGAACAGAGCTCTTGAAGTTGACACTTCTTAGTCAATAGAAACTCAAGTACAGCCCTCATTCAATTGCAGCTGGTTTCAGGAGGCTGCTTAGGGTCAGGTAATCTGGAGATTTCTGTGTAGAAACAACAACAAAAAACCCTACTGTTTACTGTTGTACAGTATTTAACACGGTTGGGAGTGACGTGAGGTGGAGAAAGCATTTTACTAGCAGGAATCTGCTCTCTGAGATGACCTTGCACCAGAACATGTTATTCTATAAGTACAGCATGTGAAATTAATAGCATCTCAAACCAAATTTGAATATCCAATAGAAAGATCTTATTGGATTTATCAAAATGTTTGTACAATTTTAACACCTGTTCCAGTAGAAAAATATTGGGAGTATAGTTAATTTGTAATCAAGTGACATTTACATAAAGAATGGGAAATAAACTGAGAGTGGTGGTTCACCTCCTGTAATCCTAGGATTTGGGAGGTTGAGGCAGGAAGATCAAAAGTTCAAGGCCCCAGGGTAGAGGGATGGCTCAGAAGTTAAGAGAGCTTGCTTCTCTTGCAGAGGACCAAAGTTTGGTTCCCAACACCCAGGTTAAGCAGTTCATAAAAACTTGTAACTCTGGTTTTAAGAGGATCCTATGCCTCTGGCCTCCTGCATACACATACACACACACACACACACACTTAAAAATAGGCTAACTCTTTAAGAAAACGTGAGGTCAAGACCATCTGGGCATGGTGGCTTATGCTGGTACTCCCAGTATTCAGAAGGCCAAGGCAGGAGAATTTCTTTGAGTTCAGGTGGAACCCTGCCTCAAAAAACAACAACAAAAAAGAGTAAGAGTTCAAGATTAGCCTTGAGTTCGAGGTTAACCTGGCCCACGTGAGACCTGTCTCTGGAGAAACTAAAAACAAAAAATAAAAACCCCAAATAAAGCAGGTGGCGAAATGTTCAATGCTTTTCTCAAGAGCACTTAATTAACCATTTCTGTGTGTTTGTGGGGAGTCTGGGCAGGACATGCACCTCTGGCAAAGTCTGGGTTGGTTTCCAAGTTACTTAAAGATTTACCCCGTCCTCATTCGGGATGTGGCTGGTTATCGCCATGACCCAGATGCCCCACAGGGTCAAGGCGCAGAGGCACAGGCCACCCGATCGGTGCTCCTGAGGCCGCCCAGCGAAAGGCCAGGAGCGTCCGCCTCACCTCACCTGGGTTTTAGGGCGCCAGGGCAAGTTTACCACCCGGTCGGGTTGTCCCGGGGTCACAGAGGCCAGGTGAGGGCGCCTTGAAGAAGCCTGTTCGCTCTAGCTCACTCCCCTCCCGCCGCCACAGCAGCCACTGGGGCGGAGCCGGGCCTCAGGCCGGGAGGGCGGGGCTCAGGCGGGCGCCACACGCCCCGTCGCGCGCGAGCGCGCGCGCGCCCGAGCTAAACCAGAAGCTTGAGAGTAGCCACGTCACTCTCCTGGGAGCACCGCCCTCCGACCCGCCTCGCCTTCCGTAGTCCCGCCCTCTGACCCACCTCGCCCCCTGTCCCGCCCCGCCCTCTGGCCAGCCCCACCTACTCTCTGTGTGCCCCGCCCTCTGGCCGCCTCGCCCCCTGCACGCCCCGCCCCCTGGGGCAGTTATGGGCTTGGGCCGCGCGCGCCTCCTCTGCTTGACTAGAGGTCCTTACGCTGGGCTTGTAGCGCCGTATCGGCGCCCGCGCCCGCTGAGGGCTCGCGGCTCCGGCGCGCCTGGCGAGCTCCGGCCGTGCGCTGTGAGAAGGCCGGGCGGCGGGCGGTTAGCGCTCCGCTCGGCGGGCTGGGAGGAGCGGCACGCCGGGCGCTTCACGGCCTCGGCGGGCGGGTTCCGTATCCCAGGACCTAAGCGGGTCGGTGCCCCAGCGCGGAAAGACGGGCGGCCGGGATCCGTGGACCCGGACTGCCCCTGGCTGGGCAGTAGGCTGGGGCCAGGGGCCGACCATGTCCGCTCGCGCCCGGGTGTCTGCCGCTCTCTCTCGGGAGGACCCGCCCGCCGTGGCCGCCGACCGGGAGGCGCTGTTGGCGGCGGCAAGCCGGCGGGCGGAGCAGCCGGCTCTTGGCGAGCGGGAGGGCAAGGAGGCGGCGAGGGAGGAGCGGGCCACGGCCACCAGCGCCGGGGCGCGGGGGGGGCCGTCGCCGGCGCTCGTGCTGGGACATAGCGTGCCCCAAGCAGCCGTACCCGTGAGGCCGCTGGCGCTGCACCTGGCGCACAAGGCGCGCGGGCCAGGGGGTCCCTTCGGCGGGGAGGCCTTGCCACCTCCGCCGCCGCCGCCAGCACCGTCCCCACCCGAGGATGCCCGCGACGACCCTGCGGCGGCCGGCCCCGAGGACAAGAAGCCGCCGCCTCCTAAAGAGAACCCTTGGACCAAGAAGCCGCCGCGGCACCTGTCCCCCGTCGGCACCGCTGCGCCGCCGCCCGTGGAGGACGCCCCGGAGGCCGGTGAGTGCGGCCCGCGGGGGAGGCAGGCCTGTCCGAGGTGTTGGGTTCCAAGGTGTCATTCAGCGTGCCGATTTACATAAATGGACATCTGGGAGAGGGAGCGACAGGAAGAGGTGGGACCTCAGGTTCTCCTTGACGGGTAGGGGCACGACGTGGGTGACGGGGCAGCGCGGCCCGCACCGGTTCTGCCTCCACGTGCCGGTGACTTGCAGAGGCCACTAGCTCCGAGAGGAGATCGCGGGGTGCCCTGTGGGAAAGTTTCTGTGGACTTGCTGCTCAGTGGAAGCGAGTCGCAGTAAGCGGATTTGTGTGGAAGCGCGATCGGGGTCTTTCGGGAAATCGTTGGGAAAGGGGGCCACGGACAAGTGGCCCTGGACGTCGCTGATACTAAAGTGCTTTTCGGTTGTGATAGGATCCTTGATTCGAGAGACTGGATTGATTGCAGGTTGAGTCAAGTGGTAGTCTCCGCGTTAGATTAGGTTGTAAGGTTGCGTTTGATGGCTGACTCGGGCATTATGGCCCTCGGGGCTTTATCTTGCTTGTAGCAACTGCAGTTTAAAAAGTAGTATTAAGATGGGCCGGAAGGGGTGGCGCATGCCGGTAATTCTATGACTCTGGACGGTTGAGGCAGGAGTTCGATTTCAGCCTGAGCTACTTAGTGACATTTTCTAAAAGAAGTGAAAATGGAAATTCTAAGCTGTGTTGTTTTTTATATGGAATCTGTGTCTATTGATTTGCAAGTTTTCACTATTATTGAAAGTTAGTGAAATAGCCAGAGTTTGTGTTTACAGGGTGTGATGGTCAAAAGTAATAAAAGAATGTACGAATGTAAGATAATTGTATCTCTCCTACAGGGGGAGATAAATGTTCAGTCCATTTTGTTTCTTAGCTTTTGCTTGGAAATTCTCATTAATTTTTGTTTGTTGGTATTTTGTTTGATTATTTTTGAAACTAGATTTTTTGTGTGTGTGTAGCCCAGGCTAGCCTGGAGTTTCAGATCCTCCTGCTGCCTCCTCCAAATTGCTGGGATTATAGGCACCACACTTGGCTTTCTTTATTAGTTCTTACTAAATTTTGGCACTTACAGAAAAGATAAAAACTTTAAAATTTTACTCCGTGTTTAATATTGGTGTAATCCCCATCTAGCTGCAGAGATCTATTTGTTTACTACTATTCTAACTGAAGAGAACACTCTTATGCAAAAATCTCCCTAAAATTTAGCAAAGAAAAAAAGCCCTAGTGGATCACTTTATTGGCTGTAACCCCACTACTTCTAGATTTATAGTTTTACATGATAATGCTGGGGATGAACCCAGGGCTTTGTGCATGCAAGGCAAGTAAATACTCTTCTCATCACCTCTGCAGACCTCCTACTCCCACTCAGGAATTTTAATTACAAATTACTTGGAAAAAATATTTAATAGTTTACATACTTGTGCCTCTGATCTCCAATCTTTTTTGGAGATTAAGAATATTGAGACACTTAGCTGGAAATGGTGGCCTGTACCTATAACATCACCCCAAAGGATGAGACAGGAGGATCATGGGTTTGAGGCCAGCTTGGGTCCCCAGCAAGACTTTGTCTCAAAATATTAAAAAGAATTTCAGTTTTGCTGATGTCTCTATACTGATAATTCTTTCTTCTTCGGTTTATTCTGCACTGAGAAGAATACCTTTATTCAGATCTGAAGCAGTAACTGGTCTCTTCCCAACCCTGACTCTTCACTGTTCCTCCATAGTATCTAATAGGTGTAACTTAAATAAGAGATTGTAGTATAGGAATGCGCTGTTCTGAGAGAAGTGAATGCTAGTGTAGTTATTAACTAACTACTTAGTTGACTTTGGCATCTTGTTTTATTTTGTTTGGTTTTTGTTTTGTTTTGTTTTGTAATGCCATTTGGCTAAATTTTTCTGGCTAGCAACGAATTCTCAATCCTCCCATCTTGGCCTTTCTAGTAGGTAGGGTAATAGGCATAAATGAACCACTGCTCCCAGCTCTTCCAGCTCTGAACACTAGAGTGCTGTCTACATGCAGCCACTGTGCTCACCTCTCATTTTCATAAGCAAATTGACCACTTCAGGAATAATGAAATAGCCATGTGTAGTGACAGGCACCTGTTGTTCCAGCTACTCAGAAGGTGCAACCTGGAGGATCAGTTGGACTTAGGCATTTGAGACTAGCCAAGGCAATATAACGAGGCCCTCCCTACATAAAAAATAATATAGTAATAAATAATGAAATAGATCCAGAGATCATTAAATTAGCAGGCTATTGAAGGATGCTTATAGAACTTATTCTACAAAATAGGATACCCTTAAAAGAAAAAGAGGGAGATATTGATTATGCTATAATAACAGAATTAAGCCAGGTCTATCTACTCTATTAATGAAGTAAAAGAATTACATTCACAACTTTTCACTAGAAACATTATTACTAGAGATAGATACATTATAGGGAGCATGGGGGTGGTGGTTAGGACAGCTCATGAACTTTATTTAGTACATTTATTGTGTGTATATGTGTGGGTGCATGCCACAGTGCCACATGCGTAGCGGTCAGAGGATGGTTCTCTGTAGGAGCCAGTTTTCTTTACATCATTTGGATTCTGGGGATCAGACTCAGGTCAGGCTTAGTGGAAGTGCCTTGACTTGGTGAGCCATGTCACTAGCCCAACTTTCTTTACTGCAGATAGAAGTCAGTGTCCCTGTTCCCGTGTCGTGTCATACCCCCCCTCACCCTCCCGCTGTTTTGAGATACTATCCTCTACTTTTAGGATGGATCTTGTGGTGTTTTGCTGTTTCTGGAAACCCAGATAAAACACTTTTTAGCCAATGGATGACTCACCTAAGAGGCCAAGAGCAGTGTCTTGAATTCAATATTGAAACCAGATAGACCGTCTCAAAGTGTGTCCTAAGTTGTGTTAGTTATAATTATTTTACGAACCTTATTAAGTCACAGTCTGGAACTTGTTAATCACTTGCTTATAGCAGTGGTTTGCATAGTAAAAAATCAGTCTTCTAGTGTAATTTTACAAAAATTTGGAATACTATTTTGCCCATTTTTTTCATCTTATTTATCTCTTACCTTGTTGTTGCTTTTCATCAACCCACTTTTCTCCCAGTATGTTTTCCAGAAATCTCAAATGAGCTTACAGTTAATACACTTACAAAATTATATATGTATAAATATATTCACCTTATAAAAATAAAACTGTTGCAGTTGGAGATACAGCTCAGTTGGTAGGGTGCTTACCTCACATATCACATACCTGAGACCCTGGGTTCGATCCCAACACCAAAAAACAAAGCCAAGGACAGGGTTTCCCTGTTGCCCCATTGACCTGAAACTATGTAGACCAGGTTAGTCTTTATTTCACAGATATCTGACTGCCTCTGCCTCCCTAGTGTGGGGATTAAAGCCTTGTGCCACCATACCTGGCCACATAGAACTTTTGATCTTTTTATGTCCCCTTCAAAAAAATCATGTTACTGATTAATTGATTTACTGTTTTGTTTTCTTGAGGTCTTTCTATGGAATTACTTCCAAATACTATGCACTATAGATCTATAGATGTGCTTAGAACATAAAATTTCATCCACCATTTTTTCACTTAACATATTGGCTTTTTTTTTTTTTTTTGAGACAATGTCTTACATAGCTGAGGCTGGCCTTGAACTCAACTAAGAGGCTAAATTTGACCTGAATTTCTCATCCTCCTGCTTCCATTCCTAAATGGTAGGGTTACAGGACTGTGCCAACATGTACCAATGTCTGGCTAATCCTTTTTCATTTAAACTCACTTTAAAAATGGCTGGAGTAGTCTATAAACTATAAAATTTAGCCATTGACTATTGAGTCTTGCTTGTTTCCCTTTCCTTATCTAGACAGAACAGAGTATTTTATATTTATCTTCTGTCCTGGTTTGTTTCTTCATTGCTATGACAAAACACTCTGACCCACTACCAACTTGGGGAGGAAAGGGTTTGTTCAGCTTACATCTCCCAGGTTGCAGTTCATCAGGGAGCCCAAGGTAGGAACTCAGGGAAGGAACCTAGAGGCAGGAGCTGGAACATAGGCCATGGAGGAACCCTGCTTACTGGCTTGCTCTCCTGGCCCTGCTCAGCCTACTTTCTTATGCCACACAGGCCCACCTGCCCAGGGGTGGCACCACCCACAGTGGGTTGGGCCCTCCCATGTCACTCATCAAGAAGATGCCCCTCAGACATGGCCACAGGCCAGTCCAATAGAGGTAATTTCCCCACTGAGGCTCCCTCAACCCAGGTGTGTCAAGTTGACACTAAAGCTATCCAGCACATCTTCTATATTCATCTGTGCCTTTCTCTAGGATCAGTGCTGATATGGAATTGTTATACCACAGGGTATTTATTTTTGACACATTGCTTTCTAGTGACTATAAATTGATATTTCCATTATTAGAGTGGGAGAGAAAAATAAGCCTTTCCTTGTTTTTAAGTTCTTGGACTGTTTTGTTGTCTGATGTGGGAGTCTTGCTGGCCATGCCTCAGCTTCTAAAGTGCTAAAATTACAGGCTGGCACCCCCACCCCTATCTTTTTTGACACTTTGAAAACATTCATTTAATGGAACAAAATGGCATTTTACTACATTTTCCCCTTAAATAAGGTGAAATCCTGATACTGTCAATACATTTTACTTAAAACTTTGATAAAAGTTCTGGTCATAAGAACTAAGGTGAGTAAAATAACCCCAGCTGTGTTAAAATTATTGTTTAGATTATCTAAGCTGTCAAAAGCAGTTTTCCAGCCTTGCATGGTGGTGGACATATTTAATCCCTGCACTTGGAGGCCAGCCTCCTCTATATAGCAGGTTTCAGGTCAGCTGGGGCTTTAGGGAGATCCTGTCTCAAAAAAAGAAACCATTAAAAACAAAACAAAACACACAGTTTTCCAGTACAGGGAGATGGCTCAGTGGTTAGATTGCTTGTAGGCAAGCCAGAGGACTAGAGTTCAGTTCTCAGAAACCCATGTAAAAGGGTGGTGGCAGCCCACCTGTAATTCCAGTCCCTGAAGGCAGAGACAAGGAGTCCACAGAGCAAGTTGTCAATGAGACTAGCCATATTATCCAGCTCTGAGTCTGACTGAGAGAACCGTTCTCAATGAATAAGGTATAAGAGTCATCCAGGAAGATTCCCAACAGCAACCTCTGGCTTCCATATGCACACACATGCACCTACATACACACAAAGACATACACACACACATGCACACACACACACACACACACACAAAAGGAAAAAGAAAAAGCAAAACAAGCCACACACACACACACACACACACACACACACACACTCACGTTTCTATAGGTGGGAGTAGTGGAGCATGCCTGTAATCCCGTCACCTAGAAAGTGGAAGTAGGAGGATCAGGAATTGAAGATCATGCTTGGCTACGTAAGGAGTTGGAAGCCACTTTGGACTTTGCTATATGAGATCTTGTCTCAATCAAAACTCAGTCAAAACCAAAACAAAACTCATAAAACATTAAATTCTGTTATTAAGGACATTTCTCTAGTTTAACTTAAATGTATCATTTAGTATTGAAATTAAAAGATCGACTTTTATTCTTAGGTGATCAAAATACTTTATTTTTAATTTATGTTGGTTTCATGATTATAAATGTCTATTTAAGGACTGAGTATATAGTTTAAGAACTGAGTTCAATAGTAGAGCACTTCTCCAGCGGGCCCAGGACCTTGGGTTTAATTCCCAGCACCGCAAAGGCTAAAAAAGGATAAGTAAGCCTAGTGCAATTGTGCAGGCCTATAATCCCAGCATTCAGAAGACTAAGGCAGAAAGGGGATCCCAAATGAGTTTTGAGGCTATCTTGGGCTACATAGCAAAATGTTGTGTGTAGCTACACACATGTCACAGTAGTGTGGTAGTCAGAGGATAACTTGAGGTAGTTGGTTCTCTCTTTCCACAGTGTGAGACATAGGGATCAAACTCAGGTCATCAGGTTTGGAAGAAATGCCTTTACCTACTATATTATTTTTTTCTCTGACCCTCATTATATGATTTTCAATTATATAAAATAGTTTGTATATAGTTGTATTTTGTAACAATGGGCTTATATAGTTTATTTAGCAGTTGACCTGTTGATCAGCAGTATTTTGGAGCGCTTTCTTTTTTAAAAAATTTTATGTGTGTGAGGGTATTGTCTGCATGGAGGTACATGCACCTGTGTTGTGCAATGCCTGCAGAGGACAGAAGAGGCTGGAACTGGAGTTACAGATAGTTGTTAGCTGCCATGTAGGTGCTGGGATTTGAACCTGGGTCTTCTGCAAGAACAACCAGTGTTCTTAATCGCTGAACCATCTCTCCAGCCCCACACTTCTTTTTTTTAAGACAGGGTCTCCTGGTAGCCCCAGCTGGCTTGGAACTTGTTATGTAGACCAGGCTGGTCCAGATCTCAGAGATCTGCCTGCTTCTGCCTCTGAGTACTGGGATTAAAGGGATATATCACTATGCCTGGCCTTGGAACACATTTTTTCACATTGTTGAGGGAAAAGCTCTTTAAAGGTTGTATACTTTGTAACTTATAAAATATATGTGATGCTGGGGGCTGGAGAGATGACTCAGCAGCTAAGAACACTGGTTGTTCTTGAAGAAGACCCCATTTGAATCCCAGCACCCACATGGCAGCAAACAACTGTCTGTAACTCTAGTTCCAGGGGATTCTACAGCATCTTCTGTCTTCTGAGGGCATTGCATGACACAGGTGCACTTACCTACATGCAGGCAATACATGCACACATATAAAATAAAAATAATAGTAAATAAAATATTAAAAGATATGTATAAGATGTATGTGTGGGTGCCTGCATATGTATGTACATCATGTACGTGCAGTGACTATGAAGGCCAGAAGACAGCATTGGATTCCCCTGGAACTGGAGTTACATGTGGCTGTGTGCTGGGAACAGAACCTGGGCCGTCTGCAACAGC